TAATTACCTGATAATTACATTATACTCTTGTAACATTTTAACATTAGTGGGAGCTGGATGAAGGATATATAAGAACTTTCTGTACTATTTTTAAAACTACTTTGTAAATCTAAAATTAGTTCAAAATAAAAAGTTTTAAAAATGTAGTGCATTTCCAGGCACTTGAGCTCAGGTAAGGCATAACTACTCAATAGGAAGTTATAGAAGAGATTCAAGCCATAGCCAGGTGGTTCCAAGACATAGCTTTTAAGATTTCCTTAAACTATGAGATTTTTTAAAAAAGAGTGTTAACAGAGTTCTTATTTTAAAAGATGAATTATAGCATCCCAGCTAAGCTTTGATCTAAGGCTAATCCCCTTGAATTTGTGGAAAGTGAAGTTAGACAGCTCAATTTTACTTCATTTCAGCAAATAATGAATGCTGCGAGCACCACAAAAATGTGTTATGAAATATTTGAATTAGTTTACATTTCATTTCACTTGACTTTAACTTCCAAGACTTTAAATACTTGTGAACAAATTTATATTCATGGATGAGCTTTCAGCCATACTCCAAATTCTAAACTACACCATATATTTACACAAAGGACTCAAACAATTCAAATCAGATGAAAATTATATTCTTAAGTGAAGAAAAGCAGATTTTAAAACAGTACATGCAATATGACTTATTTATTTTTTAAGTAAAAATATATGTATGAGAAAGAGCCTAAAGTTTCATATGGTAAAATATAGAGTGATTAATTCTGGGTGATTGGAAATGAATGTTTTTTCTTTGCTAATCATAAATTTCTAAATTTTCTAAATAATTATAATAATAATCATAAAACAATAAATGTTTTAAAAAAGAAAGCAACATAACAATTTTCCAGGTCTCTGAACCATTAATAATGAATGGACTGGTCCAGACAAATGGATGTAGCCAAATATAAAATATCTATACTCCTGACAGTCATTTATGTTAGGATGACTGCCTAGAGGCTGCCGATGTGATAAATGAATTTTTCTCCTATGGTCACTTCAGTTAAATATGTCAAAAATTACCCAGCGAAAAAGTTTAAGAACTTGCAATTATTAAGCTAACAAAGTCACAAGAAACAGTAACATCTTATGCCTGATTTAATTTTCTAATAGTTTTTTTTTTTTAAATGATGAGAAGATGCATTTTTTTTTTTTTTTTTTAGAGAGAGGAAAGAGATATATGTATTAGGTTTTTTTTTTCCCTAGTATAATTTCACTTTATGGGGCATATATTAAAGGATTAATTTAGCCCTGCTCTTTAAACTAGTATCCATCTCCTAGTGATTAGACACTAAGGCAGTACTCCTTAAATTTGCATCTGAACCAACTGGGGGATTCTGATTCTGTAGGTCTGGTATGGGATTTCGATTCTGCATTGGGGCTTTGTTAGAAATGCAGAATCTTGGACCCTACCTCAGATCTACTCAGTCACAATCTACATTTTGACAAGATCCCCATTTGACTTATTTGCACATTGGGTTCTAAAGAACTCAACATAGGCTAGTTCAATTTTTGGTTTCTATGATTTTCTATGAAAAGTAATATTTTTAAAAAAATTATTGAAATCAATGTTGCTGCTAAACTGTTAGCAAACAACACAACTTCGATTTGTAAAACTATTTTTAAATAGTTAAAATATTTTCCTTAAAATAAAATTTCTTTGATTCTCAGGTGACTTTACAGTTAGTTCTTGTTGACTTATTCCACCTTATGCTAAGTGGTTTGTGTAGCTAATCAGATGTATTCACTTCCCCCTGCTTTGTCTCTCATTTGAGAAGGATTATTTCAGAATCCATCTTTCTACACTCTACTGATATAGAGGAGGACCTTTCACCTTTTAGATGCTATAATGATAAGAATATAAATGGGATTAAGGGGCATAGTTACAGCATATCTTTGTTTCTGATTTACAATAATAAATGTTTCTAGAGCTCTAAGACAATACATTAAAAGCAAAGCGAATGGAACCCATGGGTAATTTGATGAACTTAGTATTAAAAGAGAAAATAAGAGTGATCACCCACAAGCCACTAAATTATTTGATAAATCCAATTTTCTTTATAAATGACAGAACTTTTCGATTCCAGAAAATCGTTGTTTCATTTGAGCAAAAGGCACACCATGGCTGCCATATCAAAACTTTGGACCTGAACAATTCTGACATGGCTGACTATTTTTCTGAACATTTTAATAGTGAACTGCTTAGCATTCTACCTATTAGGGGTCCAAAAATAAGTGATCATGTGGCTAAGTTTAATACTGAATTTCAGTCTAATAAACACGGTCAACTCTGATAAATTTTATTGGATCACATTAAAACCTGGGGAAGTCATTCTAGTACTATCTTCATTACACTTTAACCTTGATCTGACACTCTCACTCCAACCACAATTTCCAACAAGATATATTAAGAAATTGTTTACTTACAAACTCTAATATAAAACAATTAATGCCTATTATAAAAATAAAGAAGGGCTCACTAATATATTTTAAATCAAACTACTTTTTTTTAAGCCTAAGAACAAAGAACACACTATTCAATATAGTCCCGTTAGATATGATCGATAAGTTGAGCCTGCACATTTGAAAATGCAACCATAGAAAATGAAAAGAGAAAGTTGTTTTCATAGAGTTACTGCAGTGTCTGCTACAGTTTAATGTATCACTATAAGTGCTTTCAGAATAAAGAAGGACTTGGAAGAAAAGGGTGAAATGAAAGTGCTTTTCAAGTCACCATCTACTCCCATAAAATAGCTGCTGATGAAGAACAGAGTGAGACCTAAATCTTGTCTTTGGTCATAGAAAAAGTACTCATAAACTTTTCAAGCCTAAATGTATTTTGGTTATAATGTTAACCTTAAAGGGAAAGTCATACTGATAACATCAGCCTGTGGCCTAAAGATTTTTTACTGTCATTTTTAAATTTATGATATATTTCATTTAATTTCAATTAGTCTCTGAAAATAAAAATTTTACCTTCCCTAAACATTATATTATCTAATCTACCACTAATCATTTTTTCATAACCACCATTTTAGATCAATTTCCTGAACTACTTGCTCTTCACAGACATTAAAATATTAATATTTAATAAGAAAATTTTTGTAGTGAAAAGATATCTGGATTGATCAAAGTTTTGTGCTTTTCATATATCATTTTATTTTTTGATTTACAAAGGTTTGTGGGTAAATTGTGCTTCTTCATTTTTATAGGACTATATACTTATATATAAACAATGTCTGATCTTTCATATGTTTCTAGGTATGGTTAATTGTTTATGTTCTCTAAACTGCAACCAAAACTTTTACATGAGGGCTATAAGTTGTGATATTTTAGATAATAATTTCCAGTGTTTTAACAAAATGCATAAGAAAACAGAGTCATTCCTTTCTATTCAAAATAATGTTGAGTGGAAAAAAACAAGTCCCAGAAGACTAGGTACAATATGATACCATCTTTAGAAAGCTCAAAATAAGCAAAATTAAACAGTTTATTGTGTTAGAAATACATTCATCTGTGATAAAACAATAACACAAAAAAAGCATGAGCAAGATTCAAGATAGCTATAATCCCCAAGGGGTAAGCATGAGGATGGGATAGGGCAGTAACACACACGATAGGTGCAAGTTATTGAGATGTACACACACACATGCATGCACACACACACATGCAGATGTTCCGTCATAAATATTACTTAATTTTTAAGTGCAAGAAAACCAGGATGTTTAGACTATGTTTAGACTATTCAGGTACAAACTGATGAAATTTTAGGAATTCCCCTCTTAAGTGTGGTACCATATTGTTGTAAAAATACTGAGAGCATTGTGTCACTGTATTTTATAATTTATGGCAAAGATTTAGTGATGTTCTTCTGAGCTACCTAATCATTTGGCAATATTAATAATTATTTTAATAATATAATTTTATACATTTTATTCAACTCTTTAAATGATGATATAGAGAAAGACTAGTAGTTTTAATTAATCAATAAGAATAAAAGGAATCTCAGATTATTCTGCTCATCTTCATAGTTGGTGTTATATGGTCATTCATTGTTGGTGTTATATGGTCATCCAATGAATGCATTATTTCTAGTAGATATTTCTAGAATTATGATTTTGATTCCAGAGACTAGGTGCAAGTGGACTTTGATCTCCATTAAAGCCTGTAGAAAGGGCTTCTACTCCTAATATATCAAATAGTGTGGAAAGCAAGGGCTAATTATTAGATATGAGAGTTTAGAGAAAAGAATAATCTCATTAATATTATACTGTACATCTCACTCTCTCCTAGATTCCAGCAGGCTGGAATCTAGGAGAGAGTGAGATGAGATTAAGGTGCACATTCTTTCATGTTTATAAAACATAATAAAACCATTCTTTGATCTTTCAAGAGATGGAATATTCAGCAGGGCTAGCAAAGGCTCACTTGGGTATATTATAAAACAGCTCTTTTTTTTTTCTTGCTGAGTACTAGAGGGACTAGTTGTAGCAAGATTAACAGAGAAGCTGTTTAGGGTAGTTGCAGCAGGACTGTGCTCCTCACCACTAGTTGTATAAATAGCTGCCATTACATTAAAAAAAAGAAAACTTCTCTTTGGGACTTGTAGAATACTTTTTGAGTAAAGAAAAAAATAAAACCTACAAGTTAACTAATTTGAAACAAGTTCTGAGGGCTTAGTTTGAATTTAGATAGATTACTTGAGTCGAAAATAGAATTCTCTCCTCTTCTCAAAGAGTCTGTTTAACTCAGCCAATCTCAACACATAAAGATTTTAAATGAAAATGCAGAACTAATTTAAAAAAATTTAAAAGTCCTTCAAAAGACACCTTGAAATTCTTTGAAATAAAGTTTAGTATCATGGAAATTATTTGAGAAAAGCAGAATTAGCCTTGGACTTAATCAAATGAAATAATCAACTGAACTTTTTCATATTTGGTCTCACTTTTAATTTCACAGGAAGAACAATCTTTACAGTACCTGACGAGGGGTTCTTTCTGATTTACTCCTGCACCATTCCCAGTCTGAAAGGTCTGGTTTCTGACTCTCTTCATGAGAAAGTCTTCTTTCTGGCCCTTCCAAAAATGTGGTTTCTTCATAGTGAATATCACCTTCTGTTTCTTTAAGGAGCAGTGGATCAACGCCCTTTTCATTGTAGGCATCCCGTTTAGCCTCTGTAATATCAGTATTAGTGCATTTGTTGATGCCTTTTAATGTGGAGCTGTCCAGAGAAGGCATAGTGCTGATTTCCACTTTTATGGTATTGAAGACTTTATGCGTGTCTCTCTGAGAGTCTTTTGTAGTTTTGCATTCATAGTTCATGAGATTGAGAGAGGAAGTAGAATTTTCTTCATCATCATAGTAATCTTCATGTGCTATTTTATAAATTCCATAACTTTGTTCGAATGATAGATTGAATTCAAAGCCTCTCCTCCTGACTAAGTAAAAACAAAAACAATAGTCCATGGTTGGGAAGGTAGCTATGAACAACAGTTAAACATACATTGTAAGTAAAATTAGGAAAGTGCACTTAACTGATTACTATGACTATCAAAACTATATTTACTTCACAAATTCAAGTCATCTCTTCACTCTAGGCCTAATTTTTCTCAGTTGTACAATGAAGGGCTTTAACTGTTTACAATTCCAAAAACCCTGCGGTCTTTAAAGCAGTTTTATGTAACAAAAATTTAATCATAAATTATAAAACTCTCATTGTAGCTTTTTCAGTCTTCAAATTATCTTTATATTTCTTTATTTTGGGATAGAATATATTGTTTATAAATTTTATTTTGCTTGAAATTAATTATTAAGTAGTTTTTAATATTATGTGAGTTATTCAGCTGACAGTACTGCCAAAAGATATAACTGCTTTAAATATTTTAATGTATAATATTCCTGACATGTTTATAAATACATACATTAAAAATTAGACATTGCTTTAGTACAGTTTTTAAATTTTTAAAATATAACAGGTTCATTTTTGACAAATAAATTTGGAATGAATTATTTTAAAAATCAATAGATTTATATTTCTGTGAACTGAAGCATTTTGTAACATATGTAAACCTGATTAATTACAAGATAAATGTAGCAGGAGTGCATAAAACTTTTTATTTTTCTTATTTTTCATTTTTTATTTTTTATTTTTAAAATTTTTTTAGGCGAGGCAACCCTTGGTTGACCTCACAGATTGCAAGGACCTTGTCAGCTTACAATCCTTTATTTTTTACTTTTTTACGCCTACAGCACTTGGTCTTCCTAGGTGGTCTCCCATCTAAGTACTAACCAGGCCCGACCCTGGTTAGCTTGCGAGATCAGACGGGATTGGGCTTGTTCAGGGTGGCATGGCTGTAGACAAAACTTTTCATGGTTTAAGTCAGGTGAAATATGATGGTATCCTAAATATAGCACTACTAGTTGGTGGCTATAGTACAAAGTTTTATTAGAATAACCAGTGAGAATGTTAACAGAAAGTGATACGATTTTTTATGTAAATGTCATTAAATACTAGATAATTTTCATGTAGTAAGTTATAATCAGATGGTAGACAAAATACAATTAAGTGTTTCGGTTTTCATCTTTCAAAACGTTGCTCATTAAAAAAAAAATGTTCTACTTGGATAGTTCTGTGTTTTGTAGAAGATACTGAGCTATCCTAGTGTTATTCACATGCTGATTTTATTACTGAAAATTTCCCAGAACTGAAGATTTAGAAACCAGTTTTGCTGATTGAGAAATGGAATTTATAGATATACTTAATTATTTGAGCCAAAACATTTATTGAGCTAGAACATGAGAATTTCTATTCAAAGAAAATGGAAAAGTAGAAGCAGATGTTAATATTTTATACAGTGTCTCACTTATACATCTACTTACTTTTTTCTAGTAATATAGTCCAGTAAAATTAAATTAGGAGTTTTGACTTTAACATTGTAAAAGTCAAACAACATTGTAAAAGCTGAAGGAACTAAAAGGATGTTTTAGTTATTGGTGCATTTCTCTTTTCTCTAAAAAAGATATAAAGTGACAAATTGTCAATTTAGGGGCATTAAGCAAATAAAAACTGTTATAAAATCCCAGGTTTTTCATATAACAATAAAATTGATGTTTGTGGCTATATATTTTATTAGTTGAATATTATAGCTATGAAATATACAAAGCAAAAATGAGTAATGTTTTCGAAGGAGTTTTCAGAATGTGTCGATGGGGAATCTGTCTCCATGTCATGAGGTACAAGAGGCAGTCTGAAATAGGTTATGAGAAAAAAGTGGAATTGTGATAGAGTCCATGGGGAAATAGAGCTTCCTAGGGCCAAGTTATGCACACAGGTCATTTCATTTAAGACATCAATAACACTACATAATGAAAAGCTTATCTGTCCTACTTTACAATTGAGAAAACTGAGGCTGATAGAGGAAACCAACCTAAGATTACTTACCTGGTAAAGAGATATGAATTTAAAGCTAATTGATTCCACATTTGTAGTTATTGGTCTATGTAAAATTGCTAATCAGACACATGAGAGAAATATGTTAATGGAAGCAGAATGTCTCAGATGTGCTGTCTTTAAATTAGAGGAAGTACTTTAATTATGAAGTATAACCCATAGAAACATATCTTTAGTGACTTTCCTTAACACTAAAGATAAATTCTGACTGAGGTAACTAAAGTAAACAATATAATGTTTTAACAATATAACAGAGTTGACAGAGTTTGACTAAGAACTTACAAAAAATTTAAAAACCATCAGAATGTAGTTAGGATATTTTGAAGTCTGTAGTACATTTATGAAAAAGAAATAGAATGCTGTATTTATTCTGTAAAGGAAACCCCTAGATGATTAGCTTTAGTCTTTTGCTTTAAGTACATCTTGATAATTACAATTATAGACATAAATAATTATATCAGCTTATAAAAATAATTCCTTTGAGTAATATATCACCAGATACTCTCATTTTGTCAAAAAATGAAAACTGAAAATCTGATTTTATATTAAATATTTAACTATTTAAAAAAGGAAACATCATGTTATGCAAACAAAATGAGTCAGAAAATCTTCTGGTCATTTGAAAATATTTAGACATACTAAATTTTAAATGGTAATAATATGTGGAAAGTGACCAGTTCCTGATTATTCGTAAATGGTTATAAAATGTTTATAAAATAATACTGTTGCAGAATCAATTCAGAATATATTTTAATGTTCTCCAGTTTACATTCCTAAAGTAGTCTGTTATGAACTATTTTCATTTACCCTTCTCTGGTAAAGAATAATATACTTGCTTATTCTGAACAACAGATAATTAATAGAACAGTTAATTCAGCATACAGTAATGCATTCATAGATTTATTAGATGATAGACCATCATGTCTTTTTTCTAGAATGACAAAATAATATTCTTCTTCTTCCTGGCAGAGTCAAAATATACAGGCCATTCCTCAGCTCTCCCTGTCTCAGTATGGGAACAATTACGCTCTAGTGAGTTTTGTAATTGACCCACTCCCATTCTACATATACTCACTAGAACATACTTTTTTTTTTTTTTTTAAGTAAATAGCATGGCTAGATTCATACATAACATACATTAACAAACTCTGCCAACTTTGTCCTTTCTTAAAACTCAGGTGTTGCTGGAGGGGGCGCATTTTGTGTGTTTTCTAAAAGCAGAGGTATATACTTAAAATTTGGGAACTGTTTTCAGGCACTTTTATTGCTTACTCTGAAGACTTTTCAAAACCCTGGAAAAATACAAGCAGCAAAATAATGAAAATGCTTTTCTTTACTGTTTCATTAAATAATAATGCACTATAATAGAATGAGTTTTTAACTCTTCTGAGAGTACATCTTTTTTTCAGATGCAGGCTTTTCAATGTAGACTTGGATTTATTTTCTACCCTGAACTAAGAGCTGTGGTGGATATAACACCTAAGGGCCTTTGTTGACTCGAGCCGTTTTGAATAAACTCTTTCTCTTCCTTTTTTTACCTAAAGTAATTATACAATGTACAAGCACTTCACAGAGTTGTTTTAAACCTGCCTCATTTAAAACGTCCTACACTGAGCTAAGAATTGTTTCACATTATAATTTCTACCCTCTATTTACCATTTACATTTGTCTTTGGACTCTACATTCCCTACTCAGGCAACTTCTCAGTAGACCACTTTTCTGTATTTGACTGCATGCAAATTGCTCCTAACTGCTACTACATTGTTGAGGACTTACTTTTTTTCCCATCTGATGCCATTGCATATGCATCCTGCTTACAGTTGATGATGCAGCCACAGGGCAAGTGGGTCCAGCGTTTGGACAAGACAAATACAGGGGTTACAGTGGTAGCCAGGAGGGTTAGTAGAAAGCTGAGTGTCTCAAAGGGAAGGCTCTGAAACCCCACCATGTACTGGACCGCCATGTTGATCTGCAAAGGCAGAGAACTTCAGACATGTTCCACCATCACATTTTCCACTTCCCTGGGCCTTTCCCCCAAGCATGCTGCCCCAGCCCCTTTCACTAGGCCCCTTTGCTGCCTGAGAGCCAGAAGCTCTGCTTCTGGGCTGGTGACCTCCGCTTTGCTGGTGAACAACTAGGATTCCCTGGAAGGAGGCCTGCTGCTCCAGGCAGCACAGGGCTTGAGGGTTTTTCACTCCGAGTGCCTGGTCTGTGTCTGCTGCCAGCTCAAGCCTCCACCAGAGAAGCACAGTCCTCAGAGGACACAACTAGGAAAACAAGCAGGTGTCTGTGAAACCTGAACCTAGTACTCCAGATGGCCCTTTGTCACATCCCCAGACCCTCTCTTCTGTCTGGGTGTGCTTGTCCATATCAAGGTGCCACCCCACCACCTCTTACCTGGGATCCTTCATGGAGGCTTGAACAAAAGCCTGTTTTCTCTCTCTCTCTTCTCTTGCTCTCTCTCTCTCTCTCTCTCTCTCTCTCTCTCTCTCTCTCTCTCTCTCTCTCTCTCTCTCTCTCTCTCTCTCTGAGACTCTCCTCTCTCCCTGCTAGGGATGGGCGTTGCATCCTTACCAAGTAGGAATGGAACCCAGACAAGGGGACAACAGAACGTTGGGTGTAGGGGAACACCTTTTTATAACTACCGCCTTTTCTGAATACCCCCAGATTCCGCTATGAGAGAAGACAACACTCTTGGCCAACACAGCGCTAGGAAAACTAAGTCTCTAACTCCTGAAAGCACTCCCCATCCACTCCCCAATTTTGAAAGAAGCACTAAGCAGCAAAGCCTTCTCTGAGATTTAGCGCTACCCTTTAACTGCCTTCCTACAAGTGCGTCTCTAAAGCCGCGAGATACACTTGGAAGCAGACTTAACTGCACGTCTTTTGGTGACTCCAAACCAGGGACGCTGGTCCCAACACACTCACACTGTCCGGCACACACACCCGCGCACTGTGAGCGACTGCACTTTTACCATCATGGGCAGCCAAAGGGTGACTTTTGTCAGCGCTAGGATCAAAGAGAATCGCTTCTGTGCCACGCTCACGGTGAAGCTCCTGGTGCCACATAGAGTGCCCCGGTTCTCACTCCTGCAGGCTGCGGCCCCGTTGGCACCGCGCTCCAGCCCTTGCCCCACCCCGGTCCTCGGGGGAGGACCCGGTCCAAACACGGTGTCCGAGCTCGGGGAGCATCCCGCAGAGCAACGCAGGGCAGGACCCAGAGCATCATCTGGGGACAGGGAGAGCACTCTCTCCCCAGTTGGAGGGGTCCCGGGAGTGGAAGCTCCACGGGAAATTTCCTGGTAGTTGGCGTAGAGTCTCAGTGGCTCCTCCGAACACAGCAGTTGGTGGGTAAGCGGGACCGAGAGGCCAGCGAGGAGTCCAAAAGCCGAAATGTACACAGCGAAGAGGAGCAGCACGTAGGAGCTGGAGCAGTCTGCCAGGCAGCCCCAAGGCGTGCGCACAAAGGCGCCCCAGCCACACAGCGGGAGCGCGGAGAGCAGCAGACTGACTGCCCACAGGGTCAGCGCCACGCCGAGCACTTGCCGGGATCTTCTGGAGGCTGCCTGGCTCCCTACAGTCCTGCGCATCGCGTAAAAGTTGTATGAAACTAGGAGAGTCGCCTTCAAGTTGCTTGAGAGGCCCTGCCATAAATACAGTAAGGCAGAGGTGGTACACAGAGATTGGAAGTAGCCAGGGACTTCGGTTAGCCACTGCAGAAACAGGAAGATGGTGACCGACAGGACGCTCATGAGATCATCCCCAGACCAGGAAGCCACAAGCATGGACACTACAGTTCTGTTCTGCATTTTCAGCAGGGAAACTAGTGAATAAATGCTGCCTGCCAGGGCTGCAAGAGTCATTAAGCACGTCAGGCAAAAAAGGTAGATATTCAGAGTTCCTGGCGGATTTAAAAGGTCTGTCGAATTATGATTTTCTTTCCATAGGCTAGAGTCATTTGTTAAGTTACTGAGAAATGCAGGCATTGTCCTAGGTCAATATTTAATTTCCCTTTCAATGAGTCTGTAAATATTCTCAAAATAAAGCAAGGCTATTAGTTGCAAATCAGATCTCATTTCTCCTTCCAAGTTTCCCTCTAGATATTCCCCCATCAGTCGAGCAGAAAATGGTCAGGCATGTCTCCTTTAGATCTGACTCAACCCATTTTTAAAATTGGGTTCCATTTAAAGCATCTGCAAGAAACTTTTCACCATTCCAGTTAAAAACAAACCAAAAGCTCCTTCCCAAAACCATCAGGTTTCAGGCATGAAAGCAAAAGCTCCTCAGGTAGATTGAAAAAAACAATGATGTCTGGATCCTTTGGGTCCTTCTTATGGAGCAAAGCAGCTTGTAGCTTGAGGTAATCAAACTATATTCACTTTTTAACAGCAATAAAATGATGCATTTGTTTCCAGAGCTGGATTCAAAGGCAGAAAGATTATCGGGTAGGTTTCAGCTTTGCCGGCATTGATTGGGGGGGGGGGGCGGGGA